GGGGGGGGCTGTAACACCCCCCTTTGCTCCCCTGGCCGCAGGTACCCAGCAGACCCGGGGCACCCTTTCTCCCGCCGCCTGCCTGCCCATCTGTCCCCAGAACGGAGGAGCCCGCCAGCCCCACCATGTCATCAGACCCCAGCGCCCCACCAGCGGTGCCCCCGCTGCACTCGCCCAAGTCGCCGGTGTGGCCCACCTTCCCCTTCCAGCGTGAGGGCAGCCGCATCTGGGAGCGTGGCAACCTGCTGCTGCGGGACCTGCCCAGCCCGCTCCCCACCAAGAGGACCAGGACCTACTCAGCGTGAGTACCCAGCGCACAGCAAGTGGGCTTGGGGCTGTCCTGCTCAGCTAAGCAGGGACCACAGTCGCCAGTAGGACTCTTTGCAGCTGATGCATGTTGTCATCGTGGCACGCAGCATCTCTGCACCTGTCTGCCGGCAGTGCTGCAGGTGGGATCCATATACTCTCCCCATGGAATGCTGTCTATTCCTAGCAAACCTCTCCATGTGCTGTCCCCCCCAGTGAGACATCTCCATCCCTTTCCTCCTACAGCACAGCACGTGCCTCTGCTGGCCCCATCTTCAAGGGTGTCTGCAAGCAGTTCTCTCGCTCCCAGGGCCATGGGTTCATCACCCCCGAGAATGGCACAGAGGACATCTTTGTGCACGTGTCTGAGTAAGTCTGGGGATGTGTGGGGCTGGAGACCTGCGGGCTGGGGTTAGGAGGTCTCCGTGATGTGGAGATGAGGCTCTGCTTGTCCTCTACCCCTAAGGCGCAGCTGATGGATTGGGTGTCTTCCTTCCTTGGTGCTGGGTGGTCCAGCTCTTGGCCCCAGCCCCACTTCTCCTCTCCTCTCCTGCAGCATCGAGGGGGAGTATGTCCCGGTGGAGGGGGACGAGGTGACGTACAAGGTCTGCCCCATCCCTCCCAAGAACCAGAAGTTCCAGGCGGTGGAGGTGGTCCTCACCAACCTGGCACCCCACACGAAGCACGAGACGTGGTCTGGCCAGATCATCGGCTCCTAGGCCCCCGGGAGGGCCACCGGCCACTCGGCCCCACAGAGCAAACCTGCCCGGCCGCTCACAAGGGGAGCCGAGGCGGCGGTGGGGCCGGGGCTGCCCCCAAACATGCAGGCGTTTGCGTTCGGTGTCTTTTATAAGGTTACGGTTTCCTTTGTGTGTGTTTGTAAGTGTCTGTCGAGGGGGACGGGGAAAGCAGAGCCCTCCCCTGCCGCCCTCCAGCGCTGGGGGCAGTGCCGAGCACCATGTCCCCTTTCTTGCCCCGGAGGCCATGGGGATCAGGGGAACCAGCCCTACCCCTGCCCACCGGTGCTGAGAGCGGGAGAGGGAAGTCTGGGGGAGCTTGGCTCGTCCTCCTAAACCCAGCTTTGGCAAGATGGGCTCCCCATTTGGTCTCATTGCCCACAGCACACCATCAGCGGGGCATGCTGTGGGGCTGGGGAGAAACAGGGCAGTGTGGGGCAATGTGGGGCAGCGTACCACTATTGCTGGTAGTTGACGGCACCTGCCTGAGCCACATCCCTCCATCAACAGCTCTCAGGTCAGCGGTGTCACGGGGAGGTGGGTGGCTTACAGAAAGAAAACACTAAGGGGCATATGGCTGCTGGCAAGGTGCTGAGACCTGTGCCCGCAGGGGCAGGGGTGAACTTGGCACCTCTGTGCTCCCCACCACCCTTGGGCTGGTACCGCATTTATTTTGGCTCCATACTGATGTGGTTTTGGGTGAGATGGCAGCTCCTTGTCCCCCCAGCCCTCTGGAGACCCTGCTTCCCATCTGTATGTGTGTGTGTGTGTGTGTGTGCATATCCATAGCTTGCCAGGGGGATGTGAGGGGCTGAGGGATGTAAGTAGCCTCAGCCACTTCTCCCCAGCCCCTCGGTGTAGGCAGGGTCTCGTATACAAAGCACAAACTTCTTTGGTTTTGGTCTTCTCTGCCATGCCCTGGCCAGGTGGGCTCAGGAGGGACAAGGCAGAGGTCAACAGGACAAGGACAACTTGCACAGGGCTGGACCGGAGGTGACCCCAGGCAATGTTCCAGGAATCATCAGCATCTGAAAGGGTTTATTTCCAAGCGGGCCTGGGGAGGTGACAGCCAGCTCCCTGGGGACCTGCTCCCTGCTCCTGGCCCTCAGCACTGTTGGAGAGTGGCATTTTCCACATCTTGCTGCTGCTGCTGCTGCAGCGGGGACAGGGGTCTGTTGTAAGCAGGAAGAAGGGACGAGGCTGGTGCCACACAGGCCAGCCAGGCCCTGTGCATTCAGGACCCACTGCCTACTGCCCCAGCCCAGGCTGACAGGGGCATACCCCACAGCCCATCTCACTGCCAACCCCAAGCCCAGCTTACCGAGGGGCTGTGGTGATGCTGGCTCAGGCCCCAGGATCCCTGGGACACAGAGTCAGCTTGGCCAAGGCAAACCTTGATTGATTTGGTTGTTTTCCCTTTCCCTATTTTTTGGGGGAATAAACTACAACCCCAGACTTGTGGTGTTTTTACAACTCCAGTGTGGTTCCCGCCTGTCTGACCATGTGTCAACCTTTGTAACATTGGCAATAAACCATTAAAAGTGACTTTCCCATGAGCCCTGCCCATCCTGGCTCTTTGTCCTGTGTGTGTCACAGTGGGGATGCTGCTGGCTGTCCCAGGTAAAGGACCTGGATCACTCAGGGATTTATCCAGACAGCATGGTCTGGGGATTCTGGGGTGCTCCAGGTTTGCTCAGGGGGAGCAGACGCTGAGCCTGGGACAGGAGGCTGCTGCCCACTGGGATGGGGGCTGGGGTTGGGGCTGGTCCCCCACTGCTGCAGGGATTTTGGGTGCCTGCCATCTGGATGTGTCTCAGCCCAACAGAGCCCAGCACAAAGCACACGCTGCCTCCAACCACTGCGTGTTGTAGCTTTAGTAGGATTGGTTTTATTTTTTTTAATATACATATATCTGTATTTAAATATATTTCTTATTTAACAGTTGGTATTTGCCAGACAGGAGCTGCCCATCTCGCACAGATACGGAGCCACTCCCCAACACAAGGCCCACCACATCATCTCACTCACACGTACACAGGAGAACCCCCAACTCACACCACAGGCACCCACCGGGTGAGGAACATCATGGCAAAGGGGTCTCAGGGGCAGGCACAGGGCTCCCACCCCAGCTCTGTGCCTCATCCCTGCCTGCAAGACACAAAGCAGGCAGCTGGGACTCTCAGCGGCCCTGCTTGAGCAGCAGGGTGGGAGCAGATGAGGCCCCTTCAACCTCAGCCATGCTGTGACTCTGAGGTGCTGCCCCAGCTACTTCTGTTGTCATCCTCACCCCTCCAGCAGGACAGCGTCTCCTGCTGCAAGGTGCCCTCAGCTGGCCCAGGCTTGATGTAAGCCAGAGACAGGAACAGGGAAGGTTCCTGGGCTTGATCCCACTCATGCACATATGAGCTCTTGAGCAGACAGCGATGGTAGGTGCCACAGAGGTCAACCCTGCCTCTGCTCTGCTCGCCCTGCAACCCCCCCACCCTGAGCAAGGGATGCGCTGCCACCAGGAGCAGCTTTGGACAGAGCCTGTCCTTCCCTTCAAATGTGCAAGTCATCTCAGCCCCCAAGGCCACCACAGTGTCTTGTGACTTCAGGGCTGCTCTTCACTCACCACTGAACTCACTAGAGCTCCTGCTGGGTTTGAATAGACTTACAGGAAAATTACCCCCCCCCCCCCCCCGCCCCAAACCGCACACATCACCTGATCCACAGTGAAACAGAGGAGGAACCACAAAACACACGATTCCTCCATGAAGGTTTCAGTGCCGAAACCAGTGGCCTGTGAAAAGAGTAGCCTGCATTCAGGTTTCTCCAACAAGTCCTCTTCTGCCACGCAACAACCTCTGGGTAGAAAGAGGAGTTTGTGCATTTGTTGGGGATTTCTGGATGCTGGGCAGACCCTTGTGCTCATGCAGATGGGATGCATTACAGACCTGATGCGTTGTAGAGTTAAGAGGTGCAGTCAGGAGGAGGAGCAGCACCCCTGCTCCTGCAGCCAGGCAGCAGCACCAAGAACCACGCAGGACTCTGCCCATGGCCACACGAGAGCCCTGCCCTGGGTCTACAAGTACCGACATATCTCACCTGATGCATGCAGTCCCTTGGTTACGGTGGTGGCAGCCAGCTGAGAAACTTCTCTCTGCAGTCCAGGTGGGAGATGAAGAGCAATGGCAAGGACAGCAGGAACAGGAGAAAAAGGGGAGAGAAAACAGGACCAAGAGACAGGACAGTGACACAGCAACAGCGACGTGGTGAGAAAGGCTCATGGGGAGCAAAGGGGCAGGTTGCAGGAACATTCACTATCTTCCAGGACCACAAACACTAGGTACGTGTGCCCTGGTAGCTGTAAGTGGACATCTCCCTGGAGGGGATCCCTGAGCTTCTCTGGAGTACCAAGTTGTGACTAGTGTCATCGGTGCAGCCACATGTCCCAGCACAGCTGCCAGGAACAAAGGGGCAACATGAGATGAAGGGCTGAAGAGCAGATGTGGTTTTGCAACGCATGAAGACGCAGAAGAGAGCAGCAGGACACATGACAGTACTGTAGATCCTGCCTCCCTAAAGGTGACCATGTAAACTGTGCGTGTGGGATGAGATGAGGTGGAAAAGCAGGTTTAAGAGGGCACTGTTGAGAGGGTACCTCCATTGGCAGTACGAACCAGGTCTGGCCTGTCTTGGCCCTCTCTGAGAATGCCTCTGGCAGCAGGATGGAAAGCTGAGCACTGGGAAGGAAGGTGACGTGGTCCGTTATGAATGCCCTGGGTGGTTTTACACTGACACACTTGTGACACCTAATGGACATGGCAGTGGGCAGGGGACCAGGAAGCCTTCTGCCTACAGCTGCTCCACAGAGTGCCCTGCACACATTGGGTGCCTGGCGTCCTCCAGCCACACCAGAGAAGGTCTCATTTGAGAATGCAGAAAATACATCCTGGGTGTTTTTTTTTTGAGAGCTAAAGAGAGAATTAGTTTCTTCATGCGCCTGAGCAAAGCTCAGAGCAGAAGCCCAGTCAGTCATTTTAAAACTGTAATTCCCAGGTCACCTGTAGCGACTGGCACGGTGTGGCATTGAGGGGAAGGACATGGTGACCCCTCTGTTAGGATGCCCAATGCTGCAACCAGCTGGGGTCGCAGCTACCCCTTCCTACTTGGAGCAAACAGCCTTCCTGGCCTCCTGCCTCGGAGCAGCTTCACGGAGAGTGCCTGGGGCCTCAGCAGCCCCAACCTCCCCAGCCAAGGTGCAAAGGGGAGAGAAAGGTGAGACACATGCTCCCTCATGCAGAAGTGTTAAGGGAAACAGAGGGAAAAGAAGAGAAGGGGGGAGGGAGCACGGGGATGGTCTTGTGACTGGCCCTCTCAACACTTTCTGACCAAGAAAGCATCTACATTGCTGCCCACCCAGCCCAAACTGTCAAGAGAGAAGTTTTTCTGGAGGCGAGGAGGGTCTGGTCCTGGGAGCCCCAGCCACAGATCGGGAGTGCCAAAGGGCTGCTCAGCAAAGCCCCCTCCTGCGCACCCACCTGCGCTCACGCCTTAACAGCCCGACCAGCTCTGCACAGTGGGGATTTCCTGTCACCCTGAGCAGATCCCTCACGTGAAGGTGCTTTTCCTGGCAGGGGAGAGGGCAGGGATGGGGCAGGGCTGCAGGACCTGTGCAGTCAGCACTCGTTTGCTCTCTCCGGAAAGAAGATCTCGCGGCATCGCTGGACCGTGTCCTGCGGGTTCTGGACGCTGTGTCCCACTGTGCGGGGATCATCGTAGATCTCATAGTCGTTCCCTCCCTGCAGGGAGACAGGAAACAGGGAAAGTGTTAGCAGGGCATCACCAGAGCATCCTCATCCATGCTTCCACATCTGGCTCTGTCAGAGGATGTCAGCGCTCTGCTGTCCCAGGGAGGCAGACGGGCCTGGGTTGGAGCCCTGCTCCCCCCTCTTGTCTCCCCTCCTCTGTGCCATGGGAGGAGTGTATAAAGGATGGGGAAGGCCCAGGACCAGCAAAGCTCTTCCAGGCAGCCAGGAGCTCCCTGCACTGCCTATGGATGAACTAGCAAAAGATGTGGTGGGCACATCTGGGGAGCAGAGGTTGCCCACATCTGGAAAGGGCTGAGTGGATGGGAGAGCTGGTCTACAGCAGCAAGGAAGCATCATCCTTCACTGCTCTAAAGGGAAGGCGAAGCTGTTCCTGCTATTGAAAAGCCCCCTCCTAGGTGCATTTTGGGTCCTATGGGCCACAAGAGTGGCTGCATCCCCCGAGAGTGCCAGGGGTAGGAAAGCAATGCTGAGGTGGACCTGCTCCCCAGCACAGTGACCCTGCCACCATCATGAGCCTTCTGCAAACCTCTGTGGCACGAGAATGTCTCTTCCCCTGGCAGCACTCGAGGTGCCACGGGTGGAACCCAGGCTGTGGAACTGTGATGGAGCAGCACCATGCAGGAGAGAAAGCGGCCACGAGAGGGGTGAGCAGGGGATACTCACAGGGGTTGTCTCATTCCCAAAGAAGTGGATGGTGTCAAATCTCTCATCATCGAGCACGTTGAGGCAGTAGCGCTTGTCCCAGCCCTCTGGGAAGACGTCGAAGCTGATCATGCCACCTGCCAGCACAAGGAAGGGCAACACTGGTGGGAGCTGACAGGGTGTCCCCCATGCTGGGATAGGAGAGGTCCAGATGTCTGTGTGCAGTCCTCAGCCCAAACACCAGCCAGGCACCAGCTTTGCCTTGGTGTGCCTCTGCAGCATGTAGCTGTTCCTATGACAACGAGCTGGAGTGACATCAGTGTGGCTGTGGTGACCATCAGCACAGCTCCCCTGACTGCAGGCAGGCAGCAAGCAGGAACCAGCACTGCAGGGAGGATGCTGGGATGGGAGGTCCCAAGAGATGCATCTGCTGGGAGACACTGGATCACACCTTGCATCAGTATGTTCTGTGTCACAACGGGGGGCAACCAAGGCTCCTGTGTGAACATCACTGGCCCTCCTAGAGCACTCTGGCGCTCCTTAACCCTGCAGGGACTGGGACCTCCCAGCACCCTGCACACTCAAAGCAAACCCCATGCACCACACAGCTCAGGGGTCCCAGCTGGCCATGCTGCAGGCCCCACGCAGGCTGTGCACACTGATCAAGGGTGGTCCATGGAGGTACCATCAACATAACTGGGGCACGACCCTGGCCTGTCGCCTCTTGCTACAACAGTCAAGTGTGAATTGCTCACATCTGGAGGGGCACGAAGGCAGATGTGGCAGATGTACAGAGGTGAGGGAGCTTTCCCAGAGCACGCACACGTGTGTGCACATGGACACCCACGGCCACCCAGGGTTAGCAGACTTCCAGCCCTTGCTCTCAGACCAGGCTTACCCCAGCACTGTGCTGCCTTTTGGGGGTTCTCAGAGGCAGCAGCTTCCCCATCCTTGTGAGCTACCACACTGCATGCATAGGCTGCAGAGCCAGAACCTTGTCCCAGCACCAACACGGGTGACAAGTTCCTCCCAAAACAAAGCCTTAGGGCACATGTATGTTTGGATCTCGCTTGGAGCCAGGAGGAGCGGGGATTTCAACTTGGATGTGCATCCTCCTGCCAGTTCAGGTCTCTGCTCCTCTTGGCTCCACGGGGACCATCTGCATCTCCAGGCAGTCTGCTAGGCTGACAGCAGTCCTGGAGTTGCACACATCTCCTTCTCCATAAATCACAACCCTACTTCTCTTAGGAAGCAGGTACTTCTAGTAGTAAAGTAGACAGGTACCCACAGGGATGGCCCCTGCTGGAGGAGAGGCACCGATTCCCCAGACCATTCAAACACTCAGCTCCTGATGCCATGATCCTCTCCTCCCTGGCTGGTTGAGGTGTCCCTCTTGGAGCCCTCCTTGGAGCCTGAGGAGCTGGAGATGGAGTCTGTGTGTTCAGCTTGGGGCAGAGGTTTCACTACCTGGGCAGGACACTGTGATATGTATAGGAGCAAGTGCCCTACAACCTCAGGGATGGGGATGCCCCCAGACTTGAAGCAGGAGTCAGCATGGGAGCGGGAGCCAAACTTGTCAGACCTCATTAAAATCCTTCCTGGTTTAGTATCCAAAGCCATCTGTCTGTGAAAAACACTGTGTTTCGCTGCATCCTGGCCTTTTAAACACAACGGGGCAGCAAGAAGGGGCTCTTGATGCCAGTTGCAGAGGGTAGGAAACTTGAAGGGAGAAGAGCTGGTGTGGAGGACAGCCAGCACTGGCCCTTGCCTAGGCAGAGCATGGGTCTGGGGGGCTGCAGGGGGATCCTCCATCACCTCTGGGGCTTGTGTCCTCCACAGTCCGGGACAAGGCACATGGAGCCAGCATGGCAGAAGAGCCCCATTCCCACATGTTCCTGGTGTTGGATGCCTGACCTGAGACACACCGCGTTTTCTTTGTGGAGGAGCAGGGGGCCCGCAGCTCCCCTTGTCTCGATGCTTCTACACAACAGGCCCAGGCTCTTCATGGTGGTTTCCCAAAGTCAGAGGAGAGAGGCCCATTGTTCTGCTCTCGTCCCCCGTGCCTGCGGGGACCTTGTCTTTCTCTGCTGTGACAAACGGTGTGTCAGTGCTGTGGGCAACAGAGGATGCTGCTGAAAGGATGCTGAAGGGGCTTTAAGCGGAGGCTATAAGGGGGCCAGACCCGCAGTACTCATCCACCCTGGGTCAAGAGTGGGGTGTCACCTCCTGGCTTTCAGCCTTGTCACCCCCTTTCCCTTTAGCTCAGGCTACCACATGGCACCTTCTTACCTCACACATACCCATGTGCCCTGTGGAGGGTCTTGTCCACCACCAGCCCCGTTGCTTACACACCCTCATTTTGCTCTCCAGGCTGGCCAGACCCCCAGGATTACTCAAGCCCCTCCTTTGGTTCCTCATCTTCACTACGGGTGGCTCTCACTTGCAAAAGCCACCCCAAGAAGTGGCCCATGGCATGGAGCTGCAGGCTCCTCACCCCTCACAGCTCTTCCTCCAAGAAGAAAGAGGTTTTTCTTTGTAGTCAACCCTCCCAAGTAAACCCTAGAGCTGAGACACTCATGAGGCTCCCATCTCAGTCCTAGAGAGACGCACATGTGCCTCGAGCTCTGCTGGCCACGCTGCTGCTGCTGGAGCCAGAACAGACCTTCTGGGGAGGGGAAGCTCCACAGAGCTAACTGGAATTAAGGCAGGGATAATGTGGCAGGACAAAATCCCTCCCATCTGCCTGACTGCAGGGGAGGCGAATCTGCAGCACAGTTTATTCTCCGCTGTCGCCCTGCTTTGGATGTGAATGAGGTGTCCCTGCAGCAGCTCTCCAGGACTATGAGCTCTCTGTGTCTTCCCTGGTCTCCAGGCACCCAGAGGGAACAACCAGGATTCCTGCTTCCCTTCCCAGCATTTCAGGGGAAGCACAATGAAGAGGCCAGGCAAAGCCAGGGAAACTCCCTTCACTCACCTCGAGAGAAACGCAGACCTTTGCCAGCAAACTCCCTCTGCAAGGCTGCCACAAACTTCTCCCGAATCCGCTCTTTCTGTGGAGCAAGGAGGAAAAGGGAGGAAAGCAGGTGGAATAATTGGGTACTGACAGTCAACCAGAACCCACCGTAAGCTGTCTGTTGCGCAGCTATGGCCCCTTGCTCTTCTCCCTTCCTGACTTCCCTGAGCCCCAGTACAAGCACATTTAGCCAGCTTTCACCAGCCCTGACCCGTGTCATGTAGAGGCCACCAGCTCAGCAGCTCCAGCAGCTCCCAAGAAGAGCAGGTCCCAGCCCTTCCTCGCTGCAGTTACCCCAAAGCCAAGTTCCCAACCCAGTCTCCAGCTTTGCTGCAGAAGTCTTGCCAAGTCCAACCGATCCCTCAACCCCAAGGAAGCTCCCCCAGGCAGACACTGCTGCGAACAGGGGCCAAGTGCTCCAGAGACCTGCCCAGCAGATCTGCCGTGCACCTCCCGGTCTGGAAAGCCCATTAGTTCCAGCTCTGTTGGGGCTGGGAGAGTGCGGGACAGAAGGCAGATGCTGGGCAGCCTTTGGTTACTGTAAATGAGGAAACACCCTATTAAATAAGTGCCTTATTCCCTGGGGCTCTCCCACAGCACGAGGAATCCTGCTGGCCACCCCACTGCATTGGTGGTGCCCAATGAAGTCAAATTCTTCCATCCATCTGTGTCCTTCCTTAGGTTTTCTGACCCTCCCCAGTGCTGTTTTCACCTTGCTGCATGTGCTGGCCTGGTGCACAGTTTGGATCTGGGCTCCTTTCTCCTTGGGAAGGGCAGGAAGCAGGTAAGACCTGAGATCTGTGGTGGTGCAACACCAGCAAAGGGTGAGCCTGTGTACCTTGTCCAGCTCGGAGAACTCGATTCGCTCCTCTGGGGTGCAGCTGCGTCCGATGGGGGAGATGTTCAGCATCCCATTGCGAAACTCAATAAAGGTTCCTCTGTGGGTGGACAAGGGCACAGGGTCACTATACAGGGAGACTAAAACACACCTTCCCAGGCGAATGGCTGCTCCGTGAGACATGCAGTCCCTGCAGGGACAGACAATAGGAGAGGAGCCATGCCCACTCACAGGTACTTCATGCCAGGTAAAGACCAGGCATCAGCACTCCTGATTAGTGTCTCCAAGGGGCTCATAGTTTTGTAAAGGAGACTGTAAGAGAAGAGGAGTAAACAGTTCCTGTGTGCCCTGGGGATGCTGGAAGCAACGAGCATAGGGGAGATGATAGGAAACATTTTCTAATGTTATGAATAACTGCAAGGACAGAGGAGGCCACGAAGATGCTGCAAGGGTTGGAGCAGCTCTGCTCTGGGGGCAGGCTGAGAGCTGGGCTTGTTCAGCCTGGAGAAGAGAAAGCTCTGGGGAGACCTTAGAGCAGCTTCCAGAGCCTGAAGGGATCCTCCAAGAAATCTGGAGAGGGACTTTTTCCAGGGGCCTGTAGTGACAGGACAAGGGGGAATGGCTTTAACCTGCCAGAGGGGAGACTTAGGTTAGAGATAAGGAATTAGTTACTGTGAGGGTGGTGATGCCCTGGCACAGGTTGCGCACAGAAGCTGTGGCTGCCCCATCCCTGGCAGTGTTCAAGGCCAAGCTGGACGGGGCTTGGAGCAACCTGGTCTAGTGGAAGCTGTCCCTGCCCATGGCAGGGGCTTGGAACTGGATGAGATTTAAGGTCCCTTCCAACCCAAACCGTTCTGATTCTATTGCCTGGACTGCACCAACCGCCTGAAGGGACTGCAGCATCTCCACCCCTGGGGGCTTTTAAGAAGTGCTGGGTGTGTTGGGTAAAGCTGGCAGTGCCTTGGGGCAGTGAGATGGAACAGGTTGGTGTAACTGGCTCCTGATGTCTGGCAGCAGGCTGATGAGCAATCACAACTTCTCTGTGGGACACAAATCAGGTAGGACCCACCAGGGCCTTTGTATCTCAGTTTGTCCCCCTGCACCTTTTACTGCAACTCTTACCTAAGTTTGCGCAGACAGGACCCAGTTCCTGCTTGCCATTCTCGCCTTGCACTGGGACTACTACTCTTCCACCTACTCGGTGTGCTGGTTCAAAGCACTAGGCTGGCAGAAAACTGCTCCCTTCTTTTCACTTTGTTATAAATCCCCGGTTCTCTCCACTTACCACCTTGGAATAACTCACTGAGGGTTCAGACAGGTACCAAAGCTGGTAGGGCAGCAAAAACAGGGGACGGATGGCAGCACCGCCAATTGGAAAACAGACTGAAACTCTTGTGGAAACCTAGCTGGAGCAGGGAGATCTCCTTCCCTGTCCAGCAGAGGAGCTCATTACCCCCCTGATGGCCCTCCCAACCCCAGGCACTGTTTCTCTGTGGTAAAGTGCTACCACTCTGAGGCTGGGGGAAAAACTCTCAGCCTCCTGTCTTGTAAGTCAGTGAAGGAATGGACAGATGGGCATGGAGAATGGACATGGGGAATGGACACATGGGCAGCCATGCCTGCAGCCTGGGAGCAGCATCTCCGCAGCACCAAGGGTTCAGCGGCTCATGCTCTAAGCCAGGACTTGGGAGATGTGGTTTAAAGTCCATGCTCTGCTAGAAATCCCATAAGCCTAAATCCACAGAGGCACCTGGGAGCTGCAACTCTGCCAGGCTGTTGGGCAACCAGACAGCAGTGAGGCAACCAAACAGCCTTGAGGGTTCCAGCCCACACTTCTGGGGCATGTTTTGCTGTCAGTCCTGTTGTAAAGAACCACTCTGGCCCCCCTCACCGGTCACTGTATTGCCACATGGTGACTCACATCAGGCAGCTGATCTGGTTCACAGTTTAGCAACTTTTACCAGCTTACAAACACAAACGGAGAGTAGGAACAAACCAGCCAGAGCGAGAGGAGGGCAGAGCTGCTGCTTGCAACAGCCCTAATGGCTCATGGTTTGTGAAACCATGGTCTGAGGGGTAGTTTGACACTGCACCCAGGCTGGTTTAACAATAGGCTGCCTCTGAAAGAGGGGCTCCTCCTCTCCCTTCTACCTTCATGCCATCTCTTCCTTCTCCCTTTCCTTTCTGTGATAACAGGATGAGCTGATCCAGTGGAAAACTACCCTTTTCTTTCCTGGCAGTGGACTAGTCTTCCTTCAGATGAGGTGTACCAGTCCAATGCACCCTGTGGCTGCTGGATTCCACGGGGGAAGCAGACAGAAACACTGGGTTAGAACCAGTGTGAAGCTGTGTGCTCAGGCGCTGGGCCTCCCATCTGAAGAGCTATTGTTCATCTGCTTGAATATCATAGGACCAATGATGCCTGATGCACTGACTGGTAACGACCTGGTACCATTGTCCTAAATGAGATGCACACAGTGGCTGTACCCTGATGGATGTAGTGGCTGTACCCATATAGATGCAGTGGCTGTAACCTGGTGGATGCAGTGGCTGTACCCCGCTTCCCAGGGAAGAAAATCCAAACAGAAAAGCAGGCATTATGCTAAAAAATAGTGAAGACTCTTCCGAAGAAAAAGACCCTCCTCCATTATTTGCCCACAGTGCCCAGCTTGGTGGGTCAGTGATCCTACATGGGACCTCTAGATAATAAGATAAAGCCTGGAGCAAGCGAACTCAGTAGCTCAGCTGTTCTCAGGCCAGCTCTGGAACTCAGAGCTCCAGAGCAATCAGTGGTACAACTTCCATTTGCATGGGTTGGGGCCATTACCGTTTCTTGGGCAGCTTCAGCAGCGCCATGTAGTTGAGACAGAAGTTGATCAGATCCTGCAACAGCTCTTCTCCCAAGTGGTCCTGGATGGCCTGACAGAGGAGAAGGAGTGAGGAAGATGCTTGATCTCCCAAGAAGCCCACCCAAGAACATGAACTGGAGGTGTGAGACTTTCATGTCTGGCATTTAGGGGGGGAGAAAAGAGGGGCCAAGCATGCTCCCCATGGCACGCAGGGCATGGGGAAGGAGCGGCGTGGCTGCAAGGGGGCTGCACCTACCTGCTTGGAGACCAGCTGCCCATTCTTGTATTGCACAGTACCATTCTCTGCAAAGACGTAGTCAAACTTATCAATGACTGTGGGGGAAGGAAACAAAACCATGAAACATGGGCACTGCCTGGGAAAAGGGGTCAAAAGGACTGGGCTGAGGACTGAGCCCGCCATCCTCCTGCTGCCTTGGTGCCACACTGCCCGCATCTCCCATGCTCGGCAAAGGGCCACCAGCCCTCTCTGCTCGCCGCAAAGCAAGCATGGAGATTATCTTCTGCTCGCATGTGGGGAGCTGACGCATGCAGGGGGGAAACGACCTGACCGAGGTCACGGGGTGAATCAATGGCAGGATGAAGATAAGGGCTCCAAAATACCGGCCTTGTTTCAACTACGTGTGTGTCATTCTGCTGCCTGTCCCCCCCTCCCCTCCCCGCTGCCGGCGTGCCGGGGCCAGGCCATGCCGTTACCGGTTATCTAACTCCAGCCCCAGGCCGCGCAGCGCTGCCGACTCAGCAGCCAGCCTCAGCAGGGAATTTCTCAGCCTTCCCCCGCTATCAGGGAAGAGCTCGGAGCCCACCCGCGCCTGGCATCCGTGACAGAGGAGGAAATCACGGCGGAGGGAGCAGCGGCTGCCCCTCGCCCTCCCGCTCCCTCCTTTACCCCATGTCCCCATTGAACACGATGAGGAACCCCCGGACACCCCACCACGGCGCAGCAGGTAGCAAGGGTCTCCTGCCCGCGGTGAGGGGAGCCGTCAGAGCCCAGATGACGGCTGTACAAACCCAGCACCCATTCCTGCCTGCTCTCCACAGCGGGAGAAGGATTAGGATGGCCACCCAGCCCCAAGGGCAGGCTTGGGTCAGGCTGAGGACACGGGGGAGCCCACGGTGCGCGCCTCACCTTCATCGCCGTCCCCCAGCTGCTCGGCTATCTTGGCGTAGTCGGAGCCCCCCACCACGCCGATGTGCACCCTCTGCCGCAGCTCCCGCAGGAACGCGTCCACCTCCGGGTCGATTTTCTGGCGGGGAAGCAGGGGGTGAGGCCCCTCCGGCGGGGCTCGCTCCGCCATGCCGCGCTGCCCTCGGAGCCCGCTTTCCGCCCAGCCCCGTGCCCCGCTACCTGCCGAGCCGGTGTCAGGGTCCCATCCACATCGAAGAGGCACAGCACCCGGCCCCTCGCCGCCGCCGCCATCCCGCCGCCCACCCGGCCTCCGGCAGCTGGAGGCGGGACCGCGCTGAGGCGGCGATGGCGGCCGCACCGCCCGCCCGGGCAGCCCCGCGTCAATGCGCGGGCACGGAGGACCCCTCCACCGACCATCGTCCGTACCCACTGTGGTCGAAGGGCCCCTCCGTGTTGCCTTAACGTGTGGGTCTTGAATGTCTTCCCTTCTTCAGCTCTTTCTGCTTCAGAACCCTAACGAAGGGCCTGGCGGTTTGGCGGGGGTAGGAATGTGTCTTTACATTTGTTGTTGCTGCAGTGCCCCTGTATTTAGGGGCTGGGGTCGGGGTTGAGCTGCCTGGTAAGCTCGGCTCCCGCGGGGGTTTCTATGTCCTGAGGAAGGGGACGGGAGCAGTGTGCATTCACCCTGTCAGTGCCCACGCCTCACCCTGTGTTTCTAATAGGATGCTGTCAGTAGCTCGTATGTTCACTGGGGAAGTGCAGTTTTCAGCCTCCACGCCTCTGCACAAAGCCGTAACTTTTTGCTTTGACTTGCTTAAGCAATTACCCCACGAGTCATTTAGGATTAATCAGACCATCTGGCCAGGCCATATTCACAGAGATCCGTGTTACGCTGGCCTGACACGCAATGGTGAACAGCCTGCCCGGCTGCTGTCTCCTGCAATAACTCCTGAGTTATAGTCCAACATCAGAAACAACCCACATGGAACATCCAGTGTGCTTTGCTCAGCAGTTAGCTTTGCCTTCGGTCCCCACATGGTGCTCATGGTGCTGAGCTACACTGGAACTGGGAGGAGACTTTATTATGGTCTGATTGGTTTTCTTTCCCTCAGTATTACTTGGTTCCAGGGCATGGTGCAGCCCCTTTTCCCAGCTCTTCACCAGATTCCTCTCAAAACGAAGCATTCAGGTGGCTTCACAGGTTCTGGTTTTCACTCATGGGTTTGATTTTCCTGCCCCCACTCCATGGAAGGGGGATCTACAGAAAGAGTGTTAATAATTTACCTCTGTGCCATTGCCTTGGACAAAGTTTACCTCCACATCCTCAACTGCTTGCTGAAGGAGGCATGGACTGTGTTCATGTATTTCCACACTGTTCCAGTGAGTTGCCAGGCAGTCTTGCATGGTTATTATTTGCCCTGGCATTGGCGTTCCTCCAAAATCACAGGCCTGTTGCCTTCTGGATCAGACCCTGGTTATAAGCTCCCCCCTCTGGAAAGCTGGACTCTTCTCCCACAGTGGTTTCTCAGCACCCAGCTGTTAGTGTGCAGTTGGGTGCTGAAATTTTAGTTCACCTTGGGGTTATGCTCATTTTATGCTCATGGCTTGTCTGGGTGTGATTACATATATCCCTCATCAGTCAATGTGTGGACACTTACTCCAGAATGTGAATACTTCAAAGCGTGTCTGCTGTGGCATGCTGAAGAGCACATAGAGATGCCTTCATGCTAATGCCCAGGACTCTCAAAAGACAGCCATGGTTTCAGGCACACAGTGAACTCCTGGGGGTTCAGGAATGCCAGCCTTTATCCGTGACATGGTACAAGGACGAGACTTCCCATGTCTGGGTGGAAGAGGTGTGGTGTTAGGAAAACCTGCCAGCTCACTCCTGTGGCAGCCCTGGTGATGTAGCAGCACTCATTTCTTGTTGTAGACCAAGCTGCCCTATGGTCTTGTCTCCAGGCTGCTCCTACCTGCAGCCTTCTTGTTTGGGAGAGACCTTCCTCCTTGCCTTTTGCGTTAGGTACTTTGGACATCCCAAAAGCTGGAGCTGCTCTCCCCGGCTCAGGTGCATCCCTGCACCGCAAGGCAGCAGTGCCACCTCGGGGCACTTCTCAGAATTGCGAAGTGTGCTAAAACACGGGTCAGCGTTCCCATTTTTGCACATTCCCGCAGTGCCATGGGTTCATGCTGCAGGAGAGCTTCCCAAAACGTGAACTACCTGCTGTGCTTTCTCCAGCTTATTTGTCACGCCACTTTAGAACTCCTATTCAAGTTGAAACACCTCTCCTAGCACCCCAACTTCCTTTTGGTATCAGCCAGCGAGCACTTGTTCCACCTCCATTTCCCAAGAGTGTGAGCCTGCCTTTTGAAGAGCACAGCTGCATACAGATGCGCTTGTGTCTTCGTTTGGGTTAGCTCTGGGAACACGGGCGCTGTGGCTGTTTTGGTTATTTAATACTTTGCACTTAGCCTGCTCTTGCCATTCCCTTGCTTGCTGCTATGACAGGCAGCAGCTGTTGTCACAAGTAAGATCTCTGTTACTAGCAGCAAGGGCAAATACTGTGTTGGAAGTTTAGAAGGCAAGTGGCTACGAGCACTGGCTTACACTCGGTCTAGGGCTGCCACTAAGGTAAAGGTTTTCCTTCATACATGTTCCCACGTATTTTATGTGGGGCTAGTACTGGTACTTGATAGCAAACCAGCACCACAGCCGAATAACACAGCCTAAAATAACCATAGAGGTGAATCTTTGTTAAAGCCCCCTGCTACAAGCCCTCTTCTGTACAACACTGCTAGAGAATGTTAGACAAACAGTGAACTATGTGGTTTATCATTTGGATCCCACTGATAAGCATTCAGAAGGCTGAATCAAACAGAACTAAGTTCTTCCCCAGAGCCAGGTATTTCCCCTGCTCCTTAACAGTGCAATGCTACATAATCCTTACAAGTCTACTTCTTAAAGCTGTTTTCTTCTTCTTGAAAGTAGTAACGTAAGACAATCAGGAAAAGCTTTGAGCCTTTTCCTGTGTTTAAACTCTGTTGGGCTTCAACAGCAGATACTAGAGGTTTCATTCCTGCATGCTTAGATGAGCAAGGGCTGCACAAAACCTACACTGATGGAACACCTACTGTCCAGCCTTGCCTTCATTCACCTCATCCAAGCTGTGTCAAGCCTCAGGCGTGAGGTCTTGATAAGATACCACAGTGGTTACAGAAGGAAAAATATTCCCTGCAACCAGTTTTAGCCAAGGGCAGTAGCAACCACATCCACTTGGCACAAAAGGCTTGGGCAGTTTCTCATCCTGTGCTTCCTAGCTGGGACCAGAGTGAAGAAAATGATGACTTCTGCTGCATTTGCTGGGCAGCTGCATGGACGCATATATTCAAACACGAAAACCTGCTGTATTTATTTTTATTGTAATAGAAAAAACCCACAAATAAACCAAAACATCACCTCCTGTCTAAAGACGTTATTAACATTTTTAAAATGGCACAGGGGAACCCCAAACAATACAAGACAGAAGAGTAAGTGTGTGTGGGGGAAAAAAAGGCTCTGTTCCCTTTCAGGAGCTCAGTTTCCCCCACCCTCTGTCAATCAGCTGGCTGAAGTTTGTCACCTATATACACTTACATACGCCTCTCAGTCTAGTTCGTATATCTATGGGTGGAATGGTGGGGCCACAGTCCTGCAATTTGCACATAACCATCTTTGAGGAAAATGGGTTTCCAAAGAGGCCTACCAGGTACAAGGGTCTTGTCACCCAGCAAGATCAAGCAAACAGGATTCCCTCCTACAGTTCTTTTGCCATGAAACACGGAGCAGGTCCCCAGCCCAGGGGACCCTCTAGGAGCTCCTTGGCTATTGCAAACAGTGTATGGCCAAGGGAAATTTTACCCAGTGACCTTAAAGTAGCAGCAACATCTCTTCTGCAAAGGGGCTGCTCAGGAGGGGAAAAGGCAGATGGCAAAATGCATGGGGTGAACTGTTCTTTCCTGCCTTCCAAAGGGATGTAAAAAGTCCTCAAGTAGGCAGCCAAAGCAGAAACCAAGCTCAGGACCTCTTCAGTGGTGAGCATACAGGGGATATCCTCACTGTGTAAGAGTGTGGAGCAGAAACTGTGGCACCAGTGCTTCCACTGAAGGCAGCTGCACCTGAAGCAATAGTTTGCTGAAAGACAAGCAACAACAGCTATGCTGCTTGCAGGTACCACACTACATACTTAGACGTTGGGCTGGACCGTATCAGGTGGAGTATACCTGTTCAACTGAGGAAGCTCCAAGACCTTTAACGAGCTATAGCACTGTGGCTGCAGGGGCCACTGTGGTGCACTGAGAGCAGGTACACACAAAACTGCAGAATGGACTGACAATACCCCACTCCCACTTGTGTAGCAACTGCACAAGGTGCAGGGCAAGAAGTATTTGACAGAGTGACTAAAACTGCAGTTTTCCTCCATTCCATCCCCTCAAAAATATGAACCATTATAGTCCACACTCAGTAACAGTGTGAGAAACTTATACTGTATTATTCTGGGAGAAAAGAGCCCAGCAGAGGAAAGACATCTCCTTCAGGTATGCAGGAAGATTCCAGTGCAGCAAATTTGAGATCCAGGACTGAACTTACAGCGATACTTCTCATAACAAAGCAGTGGACAAAGAGCTATACATTTGCATAGATGCTTTTTCAGTGGCATCTGGGACGTGCAATCTCCATTTCTGGAGCATCAGCAATGTTTTGGGGTTTCTCTCATGTCTTTCTTCTGTTCCTTCCTAAATGCAACTGCTATAAAACTGCTCATGAAAGTAGTGTATACACAATGCATGAAAAGAAATCAGTGTGCCTATTCTTTCATTCCCCCAATCGTTTTCCACTGCAAATAGCTGCAAAGCTGTAAGAATCTTAAACTAGAAGAAGCAGTATTGATACAATCTAATGCCAATCTAAGGACAGGACTGCTTCTGCATGTATCCCAATGAACTCAATTGTTTCATAGAAGAGCTTGATTTTACTCTTCCTCATTTTCTTTACATCAGGGGAGACCTACCACCTAATTCCTCTTACACTCAAGCAGAGTCCTCTCAGTTATGTGTTTGCTTCGGAAAGGACAGCAATATCAAGGAAAACTGAATTCCTATTGTGTCTGCAACCAGATATTGAAGGCAGAATTGGTCCACCTTATATTATCATGCAGTTGTCATGCTGTTCCTGCCTTGCTGTACTGTAACTCTGGCTTGGTAAGAAAAAAAAACCTCAAAGCCAAACAGAACAGCTCTTACGCAAACGTAAAGGTTAACTATCTGCCAGTAATCCTAAATACCAGAAAAGGAAACCTTTCACTTCATTTTACTTTCACCTGAAATAATGATATTCTGTTCTGTCAACTGGTTCCACCCCACAACTCTTGGATCTAGCGTTACAAGGCTCTTGG